TGAATGTTGTTTTAAAATAGCCAGCCTGGGCCACGTGGTTTCGAGAGCTCGATTAGGCAGATAAAGGCATTGTCTCTTGGATATTTAAGCAGAATGTCTTGAATATCTTAAGGGGGTCTTATCTTAAATGTCATAAGGGGCGTCAAGAAATGTCTTAACACAAAAAACCCGCTCTTGCAAAGCCTTTAATCTGATTTTCTTTGGTCTATCTTAGTGGGAATCCGGCGTTGGCCCACCTCTGGCTGCCCTGGGGCAGCTGCTCGAGGAGGGTAAACCCAAACCCAGGGACTTGTTAGAGTGGCACTGCTGATCCCCAGTTCCTGCTTGCAATGGATTGTGTGCTCAGGGTCAGGCTTCCCCAGGGGTGTCCCTGTAGGGAGAAAGTCCTCACTCACTGTTTTGGTGTGGGAGGACTCTCATCCTATTTGGGCATCTGGGATGAGGGTCCTGGAGGAATCTCCACTTGTCAGCATAGCTTGGTCTGGTGTTACATGGCCCCGGGGCTCAGAGTCCTTAACTCCATCCTGCATTCCCTTTCAAGGCCTGTACGCTGGTTTTTGGTTTTGTTGTTTGTTTTTTTTTTTTTTCTTTCTTTTCTTTTTAGTTATCATCACTCTGAAGCGATGCAGAGGAGCGAACATTTGTGCCAGCAGCAGCTGAGGGTGTCTGCAGCTGTCTGGGGCCATTATGCAGAGGTTCAAGTCCTGGCCATCGTGCTGCTTCCTAACGACCCCTGACTGAAGGCATGTCCAGGAGCTGTCAGGCAAAAACTTATTCTTTATTAGTTTATGCCCTTTTGAACGTGGAAGATGCTGTTTGGAATGTATGTCCGGGCACAACAGAGTAGCTATTCCCGCCTGCTTTTTCCATCACCTCGCTCTCAGCTCGTTTGTTTGCTGTCGTGCCTGTGTTATTTTTTTCTCTCCTCCCCCCCCTTGCTTCATTTCTAGCATACAAAAGTTATTTAGCCCCCGAGTGTGTGGGAGCCTATTGTGCACGGAGAGCTGCGGCACAAAGGATTCTAGAGGCAATCTCGTTCCCTCTCGCCACCACAGGCTGCCCAGCCACACTCAGAAACACATCTGCAAGTCTTAAAAGGAGCTGTGCTCTGTTTGACTAGAGCTTAAAGCATGGGGAATAGGAGAGGGAGAGGCCTTTCAGGAGCCTGGTGGGTTTTATCAGCCCACTCGTGGTCCTGTGGCACAGCTGCAGCCCGGCCCATGCAGATATGTCCGTGAATGCCCGTGTTTGAGCTGGGGCTTTAATTGGCAGCTGGTCTGGAGATTAGCAAGGGGCAGACATTCCCCTTGGGAACCCCTGTTTTGTGGGTTGTGGAGGTGCCTCCCCACAGGGCAGGCTGCAATTTTAGCACGGGAATGGGTGCCCTGATGGTGTGTTTGCATCCTGGTTTTCAGCAGGGCTCAGAAATCTGGGTGGAGACCTTTATTAACTAGTTCTGCTTTCCTGCAGTGGCAGCTCTGAATAGCAACGTGATGTAGGGATGGATCTGCTTTCTCAGCAGTAGATTCAGTTTTCCAGTGCTCCCACCGCCTGGAGAGGCGCCTCTGCAGGGACCCCATGGTGGCTGTCAAGGGGGCTGAAGAACCTCAGGTGAGTTCAGGAGACTGAACCTGGTCTGCAACACTTCCAGGGATGGGGCAGCCACAGCTTTGCTGGGCAGCCTGTGCCAGGGCCCCACCACCCTCACAGGGAAGATTTTCTTCCCAATATCTAATCTATCCTTCTTTCTTTCAGTTTGGAGCCATTCCCTCTTGTCCTGTCACTCCAGGCCCTTGTCCAAAGCGCCTCTCCAGCTCTCTTGTAGCCCTTTTAGGCACTGGAAGGGGCTCTAAAGTATCTCTGGAGCCCTTTCTTCTCCCAGCTGAAGAACCTCAGCCTGCTTCCATAGCAGAGGTGTTCCATCCCTCTGAGCACCCCTGTGGCTTCCTCCAGACTTGCTCTGACAGGTTCACATACACCTGTGGAAGAGCAGGGAAACCCCTCCCAGATCTCATCTGTGGATCTGCACGGTTGGTTAACCCCACGCCACAAACCATTCCCTCCAGTCTTGCGAGACAAAGCATTCCCAAGCCTACGGATCAACCCCCCAGCTGAGACATGCCCTGAAATGTCAGAATTCGGGTGACCTCTTCTGTTTCACCTTGGATACTGTTGGAGTTCAGGACTGCAGCAAAGTGGGAGAAGAGGAGGTGCCCAGCAACTGGAAGGGACAAACAGCTTTAAAAGAGCTCTGTGTTTGCAGGGTGCTGTTTCTTTTAACCTTTAAAGACTCTGCCTTACTCCTTTCAAAGCCTCCTGCTTTGATTTCCCGTTCACAGTTGTCTTTCTGGCAGCCCCTGGAAGAAAGGAGACGTGGATGAGGGTTAAAGAACAGCTGCAGGAACATAATTAATGCTTTGCAACATTTCTGAAGGCCTTTAGCACCTTGCCGTGACCCAGCCTGTAACATCTGTGCTTTGGCAGCAGCCAAGCTGTAAAAGTTCCCTCCTCCAAGTCCTGCACAAAGCGACTGCCGCCTGCCCGAGGCGTGCAATTAGGGCAAGAACTTAACACATCAGTACAAAAGGCAGGCTGCAACACAGATGGCAGGTCCTTGGGTGCTGGGTTTGACAGTGGTAAGGGGCTTCCAGCTGCTGATCCTTGTTAGGTGTCCAAGGGGGGAGGTGGAAAACTGCTGCTCTTGCAGGGATTTGATGGGAGAAAGAGGACAGAGCCAAGTCTGAGTGTAACACCAGTGCTTGTTCTTACCCGTGGAAGGGATGTGGGCTGAAGCCAGAGCCCAAGCCCTGCCTGGTGCTGTCAGGATGATTGCCTGCACAGCTGTCACGTACTCTGAGGGATGCCAAACGTGTCCCCATTTGGATCCTGTTTTATCGAGGTCTGTCTTTTGCAGCACTTTTCCCTTTATGTGGTTAAAGGGCACCTTCAGGGCTTGCCACCCTCATTTTTATGTGAGCTGTAACTCTGTACAAAGAAGACACAGGAGTGACTCCAATTCCCAGGGGTTCCAGCTACCGTTCTCCTTTCAGTCCCAGACCCAAGTCACAGCTGGAGTTAACTTGGTGACCAAAGACAAGATGAACAAAAACCACTTTGTTTTTGAAGAGACAATTTTTTTCTTCTTCCACATTTCCATTTTTTTCTCCCTATTTCACTGCTGCCAACCCCGCTGAGTTTCCAACCTTCAAAGCCAGTCGTATCCAGCTGGACAGGAGAGAGCTTGCCAAGGGGAAGTGTTTGTCCTCTGCTCTTTCTGGTTTTCTGAGAGGCCCCTGACTGTAACGGATGCCAAGCAGCCCTGACCTTCACCTGACTGGAGTTTCCAGCTGCTGCTGTGTTATTACAGCATCTCTGCCTGATAGAAATTCAGCTTTGTTCCTCATACCTGGGAATTCTATGTGACAGGTGGGTCTTGTTTCTGATTCTAGCCTCCCTTTGGACTGGACTGTCTGATACCTGGGAGAGGTTTGTAGATCCAAAAGGCTGGAAAGAAGCATTGTTTTTCTCTCCTTTGCCTCCTGGTAGCAGTGTGCCAGAGGCACTAATCCAGCATTTGGATTTCAACCAGGTAGCTGGAAGGGGCTGCACATCCTCGGCACCCTCCTCTGATGGACTATCCAGCATTGCTTCTCTTCATGCCTCCCTGTACCTCTCTTGCCTTTGGGCAGGAAGGAGGTGTTGCTGGAGAGACCAACTTGCTTTAGAGAAATCTCCTGTTTCACAAGTCAGATGAGGATGTTTTGCTGCATCCCTGATAAAATTTTTTCCCTTCATAAGAAAAAGTGATTGAGTTTGCAGTTGCTTCCCTCCTGGTCATAAAAATGGTGGGATTACTTCAGGGACAGAGGCTGGGGAGTTAGGGCTGAGTAACAGTATGTTCTAACATCTCAGATATCTTTGTTTATGCAGCTTAAACAATGCCTGGGCCATGACATCCCCGTGGGTTTGGTGAGCCCCTACCAGCTGTATTGGCATCTAGGGCACCTCAGAGACAGAGCTCTGGTTTTGCAGCAGGTCAGGGTTTGACTCCATGTCTGTTATTCCTGCCTGTGTGCTGCTTTCCTTGGTGGAGAAGAATGGGAATTACTGCCTTGCTGAGATGCAGTTTGGCTGTGTTTAGATTTCTGGGGCTGAACTGTTTTTTCTTTGCCTGGCATTGTGTTTTTTTCTGGAAGTAGCACCTTAGGGTCCTAATTCTGGACCAACTCCCTTTGCTGGATGCTATGCAAGTCACTTCTTCCTCACCCTACACTCAGTGTTGTGTTTTTTTTTTTTTTTTTTTTTTCCAGGGGATTGGAAGAAGCAATAGAGTATTATTTTAGTTTGGGAATTGCAGCTGAAATAGCAAGTGCCTTGCTCTGATGGTCAGTCCAGTGTCAGGCGTGTCCAGCTGTGCTGGCTGGAAAATGGTGAGCAAGGTGCTGCAGGCTGCATGAAAGTGAAAAGGAGAGAGAATAATCATGGGGGAGTGAAAGCTGAGAGGGCTCTGCAGGTCTGGCATCAGCAGTCAGGAGTATGGGGAGACCCTCTGGACTCTGCAGCCACACCAGAGCTGAGGAGGAAAGAAATGGGATGCTAGAGAAAAAAGGGCAGTGGATTAATAAGTTATACAAACCGGATTGCCATGACTCCTGCTCTTGGTCTTATTCCCCTCGGCTTCAAGACAGTGATTTTAAAAATAAAATGAATGCTGAAATTGTGTGTGGAACATACACAAAATCCCAACTGTCTGGTGAGGAAGCTTTTCGTTTTCTCCCAAGAATATGCTTTCTCTCTGTGCAAATGTATATGCTCCGGGCAAATCCCCTTAAAGTTCTCCTGTGGTGAAGGCCCTTGAATACTGGTGTTTGAAGGAGAATATATTTCATGTTTGCACTGGAATTTCTGATTGTGTGGGGAAAAAACTCGTGTTTCCAGCCAATTCTCCTGAAGCAAGAAAGCTTTACATTCTTCTCCTTTGCCTCCTATTAACAGGGTGCTGAGCTCCTGTGTGGCCTACTGACGTGAGCAGGCCAAAGAAACCCTGAAAATTAAATGTGAGAGCTCTCCAAAGAGCTTCCTTGCTATTCCAGTGCATCCTGCAAGGCCCCAGACAAGAGACAAGGAGTGTTTGCTTCTTACCGGCTTGCCTTAGGAATTCCTGCCTACTTTACATCCCTGTGTGCTGGGATGCTCAAGCCAGTGAGTCACTGATCAAACCAGATAATGGGGAACTGACCTGAGCACTGTTACTTTTGGGTGGTAGTCATCTTCCTTTGATTGCTGGGCATAAACGTCCCAGGGATTTCAGGAGGAGATAAACACATCAGCGAGACCCTGGCTGTGGAGTTGGAGCAAGCGTCTGAGGCACTGCCGGTATGTTTGTTCCCAGTCCCGTTGATGTGACAGCGTGCAGGGGACTAGTTAATCAAACTGGAGAAATTAGGTGCCACCAGGCCGTTTTTCAGTTGTCACCTGGTGATCAGACAGAGCAGCTGCTTCGACAGCCCCAGGAACTCAGCCTGTGGTGTTTGAGAGTGAATTAAGCAGCAGGACCGTGTTTTCTGCTCCTTTGCTCTTACAAATTGGGACTGAGTCCTCAAAGCCACTATTTACCTGCATAGGGGAGGAGGGAAAACCGGGGTTGTAAAATAAAATGAAACAGACCGGTCAAGTAATTTAATTCTTAAATCTTGTCTCCCTTGGGCTAATCTCCTCCAGGCCATTCTTTGCTCAGGTCAACTGCTTTTAATTAGCAAGCTTCATTGATCAGGGCAGGAGTGGGAGCTGGTGGGTTGCTGTCCAGGTGTTTTTAATTAGAGGCTTTTCTTCCTTGCTGGAGGGATGGTATTACCCAGAGAAGAACCTGGCAAGAAGACCCTGGAATTGTTTGAAGAAGGCTGACCCGCGATCGCCTTGACTGCAACTCTCCTGGCAGTGTCAGAGGTTGGCGGATTTTCAAGTGGAGAGAGAGGGAGGAAAAAAGAATCAAGCTTGAAAGGAGGTTGTGGTAACGCTGGGAATTACTGTATAGATACAGTTGCAGACAAAGGTGTGCCAATGTGTTTTTTTTGTCCTTCCCAGGGAAAGGCAGAAAAAAAAAGGATCCTTGCACACAGCACCAGTCTCCCCAGCATCTTCAGTCTGCTTTCTCAAACGTGGCTGCCCAGCAACAGGAGGAGTACCTTTGTGAGGAGGAGAGTGGCTCATGGTATCTCCTCCCTGCCTTGGGGAGGGATTCCCTGCAGTCTAACAAGGTACAGGTTCCTATTATGGTGTTCCAGCCTCTTACAGTCATTCTCTGGGGCACTGATAGTAGGGATGGGGTTCACCATGTAACTGTGCCTTTGGGCAGGGGTGGTGCTGCTGCTGCTGACTGGCTTCTCTAGCTGGAGTTCCCTTAGGGTACAAGGCTAAAAAATGAACCCTCAAACTCTTCCACCCTCCTGAGGGAAGACACTCTACTCTTCTTCCCTGTAAATAGATACTAAGCTGTCTTTACTCCATTACCAGATGTGGTTGGACTCCTCTGTATTGAGTAGATGCCCACACTCAGAGGAAGTGGGTGCACCAGCATCTCTGTTCTTTGCCAGGTCCCTTTGTGGTACAGTTGTCCTGCATTTTGGATGCATTTGGCACTGGTAGTTGTTTGTGTGGGGACTGTGGATACAAATCTATGGCTGTCATAACATGGTTGCTGGGTGATGGCACTCCCTGCCTCTGGGTCTCTTGCAATTCATAGTTAAGGAAAATGCATCTGATATTAATTAATTAGCAAAAATTTGCCATTTTATTTATTTGATCAACCCAGCCATGAAAATTCTAAAATGCAGTTAAATCAAACAGAAAGGAAGTGGCTCAGTATCAAACTATTGAATTAATATAATTATCTTATTGATTAAATCATCAAATCAACCTGCAGCTCCTTTATCTGCTTTACTTGGCCATTTGGGAAGGCATCAGCTCTCAGTCCCTGAAGCACCAGTCTCAGTGCCAAGGCTGCCTTTATATTCCGGTCAGACAGCTGATCCAGCAGAGGTGATCTCCAGATGAATATCCCACTGAGAGCAAGGCTCTGATGTCCATTACAGCTGTCAACCAAAATTATATATATTTGGGTAAGAGGTGATCTCTCACATACCCACTCCACTGTGAATCTTAGAATGGTTTGGACTTCAGGGGGCCATAATGACCATCTAGGTTGTTATGCTTCAAATTCCAGGGGGGAAAATGCTGGTGAGTCATAACTTTTCGGGGTTCTATGTGCTGTAGGAATACAGGCACCTGTCTTGCAGGCCAAGGGCTACATTAGGGGCTGCTTTTAGAACTAGGGAGGTGCTCTTGAAATATCTTATTCAGTGCATTGTGTGGCTCTTTCTCTGCAATGGGCTTCCTGTTCTTGCATCTTGAGAGAAAAATGTATGACTGGAAATGTATTGTTAGTATTATTAGGTATTATTATTAATAAATACTAACATAGGCTGGCTTAGGGAGACCTCCCCAAAGGACTGATGTTCTGCTGCAGGTAATTTTAACCAGCGGGTTTAGTTGCTCAGCTATTTAATGTATCACACTGGTTCACTGGCTGTCTGACACCTGTCAGTTATGAGACCCTGCTAGCGATCCTGATCCTTGGTGGCTCACCAGAAGGGTGAGGAAGGACCTGTGTCACAAAGAAGGTAGGTAAGGTAGAGCCTGGCAGCTGCCGTGTGAAGCTGTAAAACATGGGCTTGAGTTTAAATTAGGGTCAGCTTCCCATTGGAGTAATCCAGGTCTTTAACCAGGCAGCCAGCCAAGCGCTGGCTGTGATTAGTCTGAGCCATTGTGGTCTGTGAGTCCGCCTGTGTTGACCCTGCAGGACTCCCAGCTTGAAAACATTAAAAAATTGCTGCAATTTGGTGCTAAAATTATCATTGAGCCCCACAATATTTAATCCTCCTTAGGCAGTTGCAAGAGGCAGTTGCTGTCTCTGCAAGCAGATAAATGTAAGTTGGTTTTAGGCTTTGAAGCAGCGCTGAGCTTGTGTAGGAGTTGGACAAAAGGTTGGGGCTTTTGAGAATGTCCCTGTTCTGGGCTGTTTCCTGGTACCAGTTTTGGGCTCTCTCAGGGGTCCTGCAGCCACCTCATTGTTGATAAGGGATGCCATTTCATCCTTATCATTCCAGCTGGCAACAGCGAGGATGACTCATCCACAGCTCTGTTGTTGGAGGGCGAGTTTAGCCTCTGACTGTGCTGTGAGGAGAGAATAAGCAGGACGGGTTCCTGAAGAGGCTGTATTGTTCCTGCCAGCTCAGGGCTGCTGGCTGGGGGCTCAGGCACAGACACATTTGCTGGGCTCTCTGAAATCTCACTCCTAACACGCCTCAGTGGGGGGGGAAGCACTAAAAACCGAGAGGCACAATCCAGGTTTGGCTTTATGCTGTGCTCCAACTTCTCCATGGTTCCTCCTTCCCCAGGAAACAGTCGCTCTGCAGGTGAGGCGTGAAATGCATCTACTGAAGAAATTGAAAGAGACTGGCTCAGCAGGGAAGGGATTCGAATTCTGTCAGATTTGGGGGGGAGGTTTCCAGCCTTCCTTGGATGCAGATTTCCCAGGGGTGATGCTTTTCGTCCTGCATGTGATTTTTTGCTTTTGGCAAGCTGCCCTTTGGCGCTGCGTGTTGCTTGAGATGAAAGGCTGGAATGAAGCATGTTCTTAACACTTAGGAAACCAGCTGTGTTGTCAGATTCACCTTGAAATACTGATGAACAGCTTTGCAGGGGCCAACACTTGTGTTACTCTGCACTGTCCAGGCTGCTGCCTTGGCTGCAGTCCATAGATGTGAGGAAGACCACGGCCTCCCTTCCTGGTGGAGACAGCAGCAGGAGAGACAAGTTGGCTGAGGACACAAAGAAGGAGTGGTTTGGTTCTAGCCAGAGTTTCTGGAAGTCTGGTTTAGCATTTGAGCTTGCACCTTCTGTGACGTGCCAGTCCCACCTGGGCTGTCCCTGAGCAACACCATTTCTCCTGGTTCTCTGCTGGGGGATGTCATGGTCACCTGTTGGTGCCAGCTGGTGGGACCTTCCTGTTGTCCGTCAGGATCTGCCTTCCCTCTGATAATGATGTGACACGGAACCTTCACCGTGGGGAGATACTTTGGAGTGTCTAATTTCTAGGTGGATGGGAATGGCTGAAAAAAAAGATAATTTGAAAATGTGTGCAGTTCAGGTGCTGTGAGGGTGTCCTTGGCCTGTGTAAATGACATTAAGGTCAACATTTCTGGCTCTGTACAGCAAAGTGATGATTTATTGTTTGTTCCAAGCATCTGCAGGGTGAAGACCTTTCTCCTGTGGAAGGTCTCTCTGTAGGGGGTGGGCATCACTTGGATGGTACCTGGTGTGATCCAAAAAATCAGTCTGGTGTCAGCTCTCAGATTTATAGCCCTGATGGTGTTATGGTACCCAGACTGCAGTGTTGTCAGGACACCTCACTGTATAGATCACCTCCCCTTCCTTGATGCCTCACTTTCTTTGCAGTGGCAGATTTTAGGAGATTTGTGTAAGGTCAAATGCCTATTCTTACTCTTCCTCCTCCTAAGTCTCAGTATGCCTGAACAGCATGAATCTGACAGGTTGATCTGCCCCAAGAAGACTTATCTGTTCCCTGTTGGACATCACAGTCCTTTTCCCTCTTTGCTCCTCTCAGCCAGTCAAGGTATGTGACGGGGCAACGCTCTGACTGCTGGACCGTGTTGGTGCTCGAGCATCGCTGGGATATGCATGAGTTGCAGGCAGGAAGGTCCCCTAGAATGCTTGATGCCTTGGTTTTCCCCTCACATCCAAATGTGGCATCTCAGGAGGATGCAGTGGTGGTCTGCTCCCCTTCCTCATCTGTATTCCCTCACCTGAAAGCAGATGCTCCAGCACAGCGTTCAGTGTCGGTGCTGGCACTGCTCGTGATATCGCACGTGCTAGTGGCTCTGAACTGCTCCAGCCCTGCAGCATCTCCCTCCTCCTTCCCTTCCTCGCCCTCCTTGGGCTGCCCACGTGCCCGGACGGGGCCATGGCCGTTGGCCCTGGGAGAATGCTGAGGCTGGGCTGCTCTTTTTTGGCAGAACAACAATCTGTGCTTAGGTCAGCTGTAAATTTAATCGAGCGGTGCAAAGGATTTAGTGCACCTTGCAGATAGAAATTGCCTTGGGCTGGACAAAAGAAATACATATGCCATTCCCTTTCTCTCCTCCTGCGACAGCTTAGGCTGTGGTTGGTTTTTTTCCCCTTCTTCTCCCCACTCCATGACATACAACTCAGATGTTATTTGCATCTCAGTGTGTCTCAAAACACTATGAGGCTTCTTACCTAGCGATGATGAATTCAGCATATACAGCCCAGCATTGTGATTTCCCTCAGGGTCCTTTGTAATAATAATTTCTGTAAATAAAGGCTGGAATCAGGATCCCTGCTGTAATAGGATTTTTTTGTGCAAGGGTTGGTAGCTGTGTCCCCCTGATGCTGCCCTGTGTCAGGATCGTGGGATGTGTCACAGTTTTGTGAGTGGGTTGGGAAGGGTGGGATGGCACAGACTTGCAGGGAGGAAGAGGGGTAGGACTCACCTTTGGGAGGTGTTGGGAAGTTTGCAGGCCACAAAACAGTGATGATGAGCAGCTCTCGAAGTCCTGGATCTTGCCAATCTGGTTTGTGTTCCTGACAGGGTGCAGGCTCTCTGCAAAGATCCCGTGGCCAAGGTAAGGCTCCCATTCCATCTAAGGTGCCAAAGCCTGTGAGCCCTGAAGGAGGGGGAAGTGCCTGGGAGGACAAGGTCTAAGCTGTCTACAGCCTCTCTTGCTGCTGCTGTGACTGCATTATCTGTGTGGAGCAACGCTGCAGGCTCTTCACTCACCTCTGGACTCACAGAACTCACAATTCCATGTGCCAATGACCTCAGTGACCCGCACCCTGGAGCAGCTGCCTCCCCGAGAAGCTCACGTCTGTAAAGCACAGACCCGTTGCTGAGAGAGCAATTTGTCAGGCCCCTTGAATGAAGGGTGTGAGAAAACCGTGCACTGAATTACGCCCGCCTGGAGAGAGGTGGGTGAGGAACACGTGTGATCACAAGCCTCGGGGGCTGTGAGATTCTTTTGTCACCGGTTCTAGCAGGGAGAAAGAAGCGCACGGGGGAAGCACACAGGTGTTCACACATTCACTCTGCTACCCCTGCCGGCTTGCAATAGTTCTTCCCGTGCTGGTGGAGGGATGCTGATGGAAACTTCTCTTCAGT